TTAAATATTTAATGTAATAAATGAATTAGTTTGCTAATTTTTTTTATCAACTACATATATACACATTTTAGGATGCAAAACTTATTTAAGGCAAAAAAAAAAAAATTATAACTTCAATCAATGGGTTCTTTTATTAAAGTTAAGAGGGTTATGATTAATATGGAGGTTTCTTTTAAATGTGATGGAAAAGTGTTCAAGGCTGCTCAGGGCTGCAGTGGGTAGCACTGCTGCCTTGCAGCAAGACGGTTCGGAGTTCGATTCCCAGCCCGGGGTGCATGGAGTTTGCATGTTCTCCCTGAGCATGCGTGGGTTCTCTCTGGGTACTGGGGCTTCCTCCCACAGTCCAAAAACATGACTGATTGTCTCTGTGTTGCCCTGCAATGGACCGGCAACCTGTCCAGGGTGTACCCTGTCGCCCCAAGACAGCTGGAGATGGGCACCAGAGCCCCTCGTGACCCCAGCTGGGATAAGCGTGACAGAGAATGAATGGATGGAAAAGTGTTCAGTTTCACTAAGAGTGAGACACAGAGGAATAGGTTGGAAAGCTGGTTCAAATAAAGTAAATCTTATGAGTTTACTGACTGTAATAGAGGAGACGGCAAAGCAACATCTTTTGTTGCACCATGAATGAATCAACCTTGGATACATGCAAAAATAAAAAGGAAGAATCCTAGTTCTCTTTTCCGCTCCTTAAGCCTTTTTTATTATTATTATATTTTGTTTTATTGAATTAAATTAATTCCTTCAACTGTTTTTAGTTGCATTATGTCCAGGACGGCACGGAAGGGCTTTTCATTTATTTGTTGTTTATCTTTTTATGTATATAACTGAGAAACATCCAAACATCCTTAATCTAGAGTGAATTACTCAGTGTAAACTTTATACACATAAAAATAAGAAAAACCTACTTCCAGAACCTCGAGTCCATGTTAAAACCCAGAGGCAAAAGATGGAGAGGCTGAAATGAACCAAAAAAATGAGCCTTTTTTGTAAATATTCACCCAAACCTTTTTAACATTTTTCTAAAAACTGGTGAACCATATTACATATTTTCAGAACAGTGCAGGAAACCCGACCCAGTTTGTGTTCGGCGTCAGAGTGAACGGCGAGAGCTCAAAGTGAGACAGCCACATCAGGAACATCTTGCTCTTGGTGGAGAGACTTAAAGAAACAACCAGAAGGGAAATTTGATTTGAAATGTTTTTTTTTATTGGTCAGAAATACATTCACACTTACAGAATGTTACAGGGGGGAAAAACGATGGCATGACATGTTAGTGACGCTGTATAAACTAAAAACAGACTTTTATAGTTTTAGTCGTCAGTTGGGAGACCTCTAGCTCCTCTGCAGGAAAAATAATAGAGATAAACTGAGAACAACAAAAACAAATACAAAAATGTAAACATGTAACATTATGCTCAGACATCCACTGGGACAAGAATCTGGTTCTGCGTGTGCAGTTCATGGCTCTCCTTATCCCTTGTTTTCATTTTTGTTTTTAGGACTCTGAACAAGATGTTTCTGAGTATGGCTGTCTCACTACATGAAGAACGAAAAGAGCAAAAACAAACTGAACTGAGATGAACTGAAGCCGTTCTGAAGCGGGGAACTTACCTTGGTCTAAAACACGGAAAAAAGAGGGAGTGACTGAGCCGCGGCGGGCAAACATGCAGCCCGTCACACAGACCAACAAGCCATCAGCCAGATGCCACAAACACAAAAAAAAATGACCGGAAATGTCGCTTCTCTCTAAAGGTTTGTCTATGGTCTTTATGGTCTTTATCCAAATTTAGAGAAAAATACGAGAGTCTTTTTTGGAGCTAGAAGGACCTGGCTTCACCTCCGCCGCTGCCTGCTGAGAGGCTGACATCCAGCAGATTTTAATCCTGCTGGGTTAAATGATCTCTTCTTGTTGGACCAATTACATTTTTCAAATCAGACTAGCAAACAATAAAAGAAAAAAGCAAATTAACCAACTTTACAGCATCCCCAACGTGACTTCAAAGAGGTCTTCAAGCCTCTTAAGTGTGCTCCATTATGCAAAAGGTTCATTTATGCCATCAAAATGGACTTGAAGCTCGTTTATTCAGGATTATTTTAAAGTCTCGCCTTTTTTCTTTTTTTTTTTTTAGAGAGAAATATCTAAAGTTTGTTTTTTTTCCTGTAATTGCAACGATTCACTCATCTTGTTGCAATCATATTTGACGCTTTTTTGTTCTTAAAACAGAATATTGAGCTAAAAACAAGCTACCATGTTTTGAATTGATCACTGCGACCTTATAACATTACTTTGAGATGTAAAGTAACCAATTATATTTACATGGATCCAAAAATCATAGCGGAGGCTCCGGCAGCTGGTTTAAATCCAGTGGAGGTTACTGGTACAGATTTACTTCCTGTCTCATCTGATTGGGTTTAAAAAGCCTATCGCATTCAAAGTTTGATTTTTCCAAATCAACGATATTAGAAAAATCACATAAAAAGGAATCTGGACAGGTTCAATTGTGGGGAGCTGGTTTGCATAACCTGATAGATTCTTTTTCAAAGCAGTTAAAGCTTAAAAAAAATGTTTCTCTATTTTTTTTTTACAATATGTAAAGTTATTTGTTGGGATTCTGCTGAAGGAAAATGAGCCTCAACTACTAATCAAACTGATGTTTTCATAACGTGAATATCGAGGAAAAACTAAGTAAAGCAGGAAGCAATGATCAAAACAATGAAGAACTGAAACCTAAAGGAACTGATGGCACAGACACATGAAGCTCAAAGGACTTTTTTTTTCATGCCAGCCAGCAGGAATGAAACCGGAATAAAATCTGTTGGTCTTTTTTTTTTTTTTTTTGAATTGATTCTTTGATCCAGATTTTACTGAAACTTCAGTTCACAAATAAAATGACTCAGGGCCACGGAAACATTCCCGCTGACATTCAAGTGCTTACAGGGTTATATTGCATCGCTATCTGGCCTTCTTCTACTCTAAGCGTAACCGCTGAACCTCGGATTCAGCCTCCATGTTGACAGGCAGGAGATGGGAGGGAAATAAAAAAAACAAAAAAAAAAACATATCGTAGTTTTTCTAGAGAATGTTTGGGATTGACGGCTTATCTTTAAAAACACTCCATGACTCAGAAACAGCATTTCTATTGACCCTACTAAACCAGAAAATGTTCACATTAAGAAGCAAGAGCAAACAGGCACAGGAGCTTATTGCTGCCGTTAATTATTTGACAACGTCGTCCTGGTTGGCGAGGGGCAAAGGAAAGAACCCACGCCATCTGAGGCTCCAGTTTTAATGGCTGCAGTGTTAAAGGCTGTAGGTGGTCAGCTGTGTTTCAACCACAATAAAACTTTAGTGTAGTTTCTGTTCTGTAGCGAAGCCGAGAGGAACGCCATCGGTTGGGACGGGCTTGGTACCACAATCCACTCTGATCTACAGGTGCATCTAAACATCAAGTGTTGACTAATTACTAAAATGTACATAGATCCAAATCTTATCATTTATCAAAATACCAAAGAAGGGTTTGAGCATAACAAGGTAACAGTAGGTCCATGTTCTGGTCTGCATAAACTGATCTGATGGTGAGCCAGCAGTCACAAGGAAGCTAAACCTGCAAAAGGTAAAGGAGCTGATTCCTCATTAGCAGCTGTAGCTCCTTATAAAGAGGTAAAGTTGAGTGGAAGGAGAACCTGGATTAGACCAGGCTCTTCAAGCTAAGGATTGTAAATATAACCCATATACAGTTTACTTCCAAAAGATAAAGAAAGGATTTTGAACCTAGGAATGTAAAGTTCATGTTCTGGTCTATATAATCATAGAGAAGACTCTCAACTTTATAATTATCACATTTATAATGAATTAAGGCAACAAAGCTCCCAGCTAATGAAAAAGAATTCGCATAAACTACTGAACTTAAGAATTTTCATGGAAAGTTGGGTGGAGGGAAAAACTGTGGCAGGCGCAAAAGTAGATGGTTAAGTAGGCCTACAGGAGAACATATGGGGTTAAGTGTCAGTGGATGTTTTCAAGAGAAATGTGAGAAAGACCAGAGCCGCAGCACAGGTGAGCTGAAGGGTAGAAACAAACTAACATGAACCACAGGCTGATCATCACATGCAAAAAGGGAAAATACAGCACAGAACATGGACATTCAATTCATTTAAGTTTTGCTTTAATATTCTAAATGAGTAATAACCTGATTTTTCTGGTTTTTATCATCTGTATCGCAAAAATGACCAGGAAAAAAAAGCGAATCTGTGGCAAATCTAACTTTTTGGATGTTAAGATGCACCTGAAGTCATAGTTTTACAGACTGCCTGAAGATTCACCAAACCCAGACAAAACTAAAATAAAAAAATAAAACATACATCTGCTAAAAACAACAACAACAAAAAAAACTCTGTTCTGAAACAACATGAGTTTGATTCACATAAAACAAACTGCATTAGAAACCAGTTCAGTGCTGCATAATCCGCTAAATAATGAACCCGTCTGTGGCTCAAGTTTCATCGAGTTACTTCTGTAGTTGGTCCTGGATTAAAGTTTCTCTGCAGACATTAAAGTTTGCTATGAGATGAAAAAATTCTTAATAAAAAAACAAACACAAAAACTAGTTGGCATTTCTTTCTAACCAGAATCATTCAGCCCTTTCAGTGGCAGCCCTGGAACAGGTTTTAACTTCTCATCTTCATACTGTTGTTAGCAAAAACTTTAAGCACATCTGTACCTTTCACTTCTGCACATTTGGAGCAAAGTCAGTTTTTTTTTCCCCAAACTGCAAAGCAGAGTTCTTTATGAGGAAAATGTGAAGATTTCCTTAAAATAATGTCTTTAAGAGCAGAATAGTGGTAACTAGTGATAAAGAGATTCCAGCGCCTGTAATTAAAGCATTAACCCCTCCCCTCCTGGTTGGATCTGCACACCGTTACTTGGGAACCGTTTGCACTGGGTTTTGTGGATCCATAGTACTGGTCGTCATGGCAGAGACTCCTCTAAGACTTGCCTGCGTTGGCCACGAATGGGACTGAGCCGAACAGATCCTCCGGTGGAAGAGCTGTAGATGGCGATGGCTCCGTTTCCACGCCGGCTGTCCTCTCCTCTGGCTTCTCTGTTTGTTCACAAAGAAGAAGATCAGGAGATCATCATCATCAGAAACAGGCACACATAAACATAAAGGTTCTGTTTTTCTTTGCCCCGTTTCCTCTACATTAAACGCTTTGGGGCAAACTCTGAGAAGAGAGTTAAAAAAAAAAGATGACTTGCTTGCTCTGAGCAGGTCGAACTCTCTGTCGATCAGCTCCTCCTCCGTTAGTTTGGAGAAGTTGTCCTCTCCAAAAGGGTTCCAGCCCGACATGTCGGGGGGGTGACTGACGGCGCTGCTGCTCTGAGAGGTTGGGGTGATACCATCTGTGGCCAGCAGGGCGTTTCTACTGCTGATGGAAGAAAGTAACAGAAAGTTAACTTCAGCCGACTGAAGGAGGAACTGAGGAGAGAACAGCAATACAGAAAAAATGGAGTCAAAACTTAGTATAATATATAAGGTTTGAAAACAACAGACCAACAGAACTTTTATTATATAGAGACAAACTTTCAAAAATATACTCAGCAGGTTTGGAGGAGCTGTAGAGTTTCACAGCTCAGCTGACAAAAGGCAGGACATTTGCCCTAAACAACCATTTAGAGCAGGAGTCTGCAACCTTTCATATCCAAAAAGCCATTATATTTATTTTCATTATTAAAATATATATAAAATCATATATATAAATAAAATCATATATATATATATATATATATATATATATGTTAATTTCAACATTTATATGTGTTGAAATTAACATCTTCCCATTCTCTAGCTTTTTTATCCGCCTCAAACTTTTTATCCAAACATGCTGCTTTGCGATCAAGCGGAAGCAGTTCCACGCAAATATATTGCGATTTAATATATCTGACCAAATTGTTGTTATAAATGTGTTTTTTTTTTTGTTTTGTTTTTAAATAAAGCATTTTAAATGCCACAATAATTACATTTAATGAATTTTAATGCCAATTAAGGCCTCAATTTAAAAAAATAATAATTTAATGTCATTTAATGATTTTTAATGAAACTGTGACAAAACAATAAAACATTGTAAATTTGATACAAATAAAGGAGTTTAGCGAGAGGTATAGATCATTCGATGATTAGCTTGCTTATTTATTTAAATCCTCCATCTTAAAGGAATCTGAATCAAGGATCTCCA